TATGAAAAACCTATTTTTGTGCTTCATGCCTTTGTTATTCAAAACCCCGTTGTGAGATCTTCCACCTGATCTGTTTACAGACAAGCATGATCTCAGGCAGACATCTGCCAACACCTCCAGCACCTGACAGGCCTTCCTCGTTCAGCAGAGTACATGATGCTGGAGGGACAGCTGTCCGAGCCGTGCAATGCCAACACATGGCTCCCAGAGCTACCCAATATCAGCCTGGCACGTATTTTTTTTTGCCATAGCTCCCACTTAAGCACACTTTCACAAGCCCCATCCGAAAGCCACGGCGCAGCTGACAGCTACCAACCCGATCTGATTTGACTCAGTTTTAACCGGCTGGTTTGGAGAAGGCAGAAGAGGTTTTATTCAAATGAGTAATTACAGCCTTAACTTCCTCCCCCAAAGCAGACAGGTTAAATATTCTTCCCTACCCGTGCAGAGGCACTCGGAGTATTAACTCAGCGCAGCCCGGCTCACTCTCACTCCCCGGCAGACACAGAAGAAACACCATCAGGGTCCACAGACCAGAGCGGGACGCTGAGCAGATCTGTCTCCCATCAGGAGGGGACACACATTGCCTTGAGATCGCTGGTGCTCCTTTAACCGAGTCCTCAGAGGAAGATGAGTCACTGCCCAGCTCGTGTGGGAGGAGAGCACGCCACAAAATGCTGCAAAGCCAGGGCTGGCTTCTCGTGAAAACCAGTTTCTAAAGAAACTTTTAACGCTGAAGGGTCCAGCCCCAGGCTCAAATAAGGGAAAAAAAAAAGAGGAAGAAGCAGTTCACCCCAGAGAACAGGCACATCTACCTACCCTACACCAGCTATCTGCAAACCCCCAAGTCCCTTTGGGTGCTCAGTCCTGGCCCAGGGGTGCCCTGCTTGGTCTGGGGAAAAAAAGAGCACTCCCCCCCTCTCCTTCCTTGTGTGGGAGCTGCAGGAAGCTCCCTACTACCTTCATTTTCTCCCAATTAAGTATAAGATGAATTTTAAAGCTGATTGTTAGTCAGGCACTTATCTGAATCAGAAACCAGCCTGTTGCTTATCAACAGGCTGGAAACCCTAAAACACCAGTTAAGCACCCCAACAGCAGCCAGGTAATTCACCAGCTTCAAAGCCCCCCAGAAAGGGTTTGGGGAGCCCCAGATAGGGACACACAGGGACAGGACACGGGGAGAGGGGACAGGGTGACTTACCACGATGGGCAATGGAGGGTGAAGCTCAGGAGGGGGCTCAGGGCTGTGGAGGGGAAAGAGGGGGCTCACACCAACGTGGGGTACATGACTGGGTCCAGCTTCTCCCCACCCTCATGCTAACCCCAGGGGGAATTGCCAACCAGCCCAGAAAGGGTTAAGTCAGCCAGAATTTAGGAGGGAAGGAAAGCACCCCCAATACAGTCACATTCACCCCTGAGGACACCCCACATCTCCAAGCTGAACCCTCATTTCTGAGCCCAGCAAGGGGTGATCAGACCTGAGTCTGGGCAGTACTGGGGGGACCCCAACACCCCCAAAACCAGGAGCCACCCCCACAACTCACACAGAGGCTGAGAAGGGCAGGGACTCCCCCAACCCTACAGGGACCCCAGTTTTGGCAGGGGAAGCCTTTAATAGCCCCTGAGAGCCCCCAGCTGAGGGGAGACACTGGCTGTCAGGGGGTCTCACGTGGGACCTCCAACCTGGCAGGGGGCACAGAGTATTGAGAAGCCCAAACATCCACAGGATCCCCAAACCAGGATGGGGAGCACAGGGAGCCCCGTGCCCACATGGGACCCCAAACAAGGGAGCATGCAGAACACCGGGGGAGGTCCAACACCCCCACAGGATCCCCAAACCTCGGGGGGACTCAGTGCAACCCCCCTCACCCCCACGGGACCCTCCAACCGGCAGGGAGAAGGTAGAGCACACCCGGGGTGACCCACGCCGGTGTCCCCCCACACCCGCGTCCCCCGGTCCGTGGGGGCACCGAGAGTTTCCCCACAGCAACAGCCACCCCCCCCGCGACCCGCTCCCGGTCCACACCACCCGTGTCCCGGCGACCACCGGAGCCACTGCAGCCCCCAAAGACCCGGCCCACTAGTGGGCACCGAGTAGAGCTTCCGCCCACAGAAAGCGGGTCCCCGACCGTCCCCGGTATCCCCCAGCCCGGGCCCCGGTACCTGCGCTCCCGGCACCACCACCCGCCTCCCCCCTCCCCGCCCCGGAGCCGCCTTTTGACGGGAACCGGCATGCTCCCCGCCCCGCCCCTCGCCGGGGCCACGCCCCCTCCGAGACACTCCCCGCTCCCGCCCCGCCAATGCCAGCACGGCACCGCCTCGGCACCGCCCCCGCGGGGGCGAGCCAGCGCCGGCACCGCCTACCAGCACCGTATAAGGTTCGCTCTGCGCCGATCCCCGCCCACTGGGGGGCGTGGCGAGGGCTGGCGGGAGATTGCACGTGGCTGCCTGCACCGGGGGAGGTTCCGCCGGGGCTGCCGGGGTTGGGGACCCCAACTGCGGCCACGCCGCTGCCCAGCCCGGTCCCCGCCTTCGGCCCAGCCTCTGCCCTTGCTGCCCCGCTGCCGTGGCTTGTGGGGAGCCCTGTGCTCTGCCAGGGGCTTCAGGGATGCTGCTGGGGTCTTTTGGGGTGCCGCTGCCTGGTACTTTCAGGGGCATAACCCCTACAGAAAGCCCGGTGGGCTCAGGCAGCTTACCCATTTCCTCCTGGCCTGTGGTCAGTCCCTTACCGGGACAGGGCAAACACCATCAATACTATAGTGCCCCCCCCAGCACTCCCAGGCAAACTGTCTCCCTGTAGCATCGGGTCCTGAGCACATTTGAGTGTCCCTGCGCACCTTTGCTCTGGTGTCTCCTGGAAGTCCAGGGGTTGCAGACCTCCATCCACGGAGCTGATGGTGGTTCAGAGGCTACTTCCCTTCTGGATTCTAAGTAACAAGCCACCATGTACTCGGAGCGCTCGCTGCATTCATCACCTGGCAAACAAACTCTGGCTTAAGCATCTGCAGTATTTGCTGGGCTAATCTCCCTCCTCTCCCATTTTCAGGAGGACACCCAAGAGACCTGCCATCGCACACTGCAAAACCTCTCTCTGATTACAGCCTTGAGACAGTTCTTGTATTTTTCTGATGCTTAGATCAGATTAAGGGCAGAAGGAGAGCTGATTCATCCTCCGCCTCCGGACTAGAGACAGCGGCATCTGCAAGGGCCTCAGTGCAGCTCCAAGTGCTGGAGACGCCTACAACCAAGGGTGCGCAGGTGTCTGGCAGAGTGGTAGCTGTTTGCAGCCTCCAGGCTGCTCCGGTCAGCCCCGCAGCCACCCTCAGCATGCCACAGAGCCCAGGGCTTCATGTCCCGAATATGAGCCAAGCCTGTGCAAAGCCCTCACATGTCTGGGGACCAAGGACCTGCAGGACACCCGAGTTTGGCTGGTCCCATGGGACCTTGTGGTATTTGGGACAATGCGACCAGCTGGGTCGCAAATACTGACCTTGACCACCCAAAATCCCATTACTGGTGACATGAGTGAAATTTGGAGCATGGGGGTATGGGCTGAGCCGGTTCAGCCGGTGTCACAGCCCCAACCCAAAGCTGCTCCATCACCCAGGCATGTTACACCCCCAGTCTGAAAAACGCAGGTTGTTTGGCAGTTTTTTACCTTTCCATCCTCAAAAACCCATCCAGGGTGCAGCCATCAGCAACATTGAATAAAACAGCAAGAAATGCTTCAAGAAAGCCCCTGCGTGATGCTCCCAGGGTTTATTAAGTGCCCCCTAAACCCAAAATCCCCAGAGAAAATGAGCCCTCAATGCACACGAGCGAGGCAGACGGCAATCACCGCCCCTCAGCTGCAATCACCGAGTTCAACAGCTCTAATTTGCGTGGGGGAAGTGTTTCGCTAACTGTTTTTAAATTGATTTAATGAGGCCAATGAGAGAAAACAACGTCTGGGAAGAAATGGGAGTTTATTAGAGATAATTTAGTGGCAGAGAACTTTTTTGGGAGGGCAGGGAGTGGGCTGCGGATGGGGCTGGGGTGATTTTGCATGGGCAAGGCTGCACATACCCATCCCACCGCTGCTGTTTTCCACCATTGCAGCCATTTAAATGTTAAAATATGTCCCAAGCCTTCGCACAGCGGATGCCCCACTGACCTCGCCTTGCCTGGACCGGTGCAACATGCTCCTCAACCCCATAAAAAAACTGCTCTGCTGCCAAACCCACCTTTTCCTGCAGCCACAGCCCAGTTTGTGCCCCAAGCTATGGGGAAGGCTTGTAGCTGATGAGAGGTTTAATTTGCTCCCTCTATAATGACCTGTGGTGGTTATAGCTGTTTTCCAGCAGCTCTCCTGCTGATTTTCCTGCCTCGATACACCTTGCACAAGGGAATCAGGGCCAGATCCTGGTGCTGCTCTGCTCACCATCACATCGCCGTGACTTGCACATCCTCGGTGCCGGTGAGGAGCCATGCACGTGGGCTGCAAAATCCCTCCCATGCAGGAGCCAGGGGATGCACAGAGATGCAGGAGGATTTAATTCTTGCACGATGCATGGGGTGGGAATGGTGACTGAAAGCTGGAACCGTGAGCTGGCATCTTTGTGCTGCTCCAGCCTGGGAAAAGGGGACCCTCAGCTCAGTGGGTCTCGGCTGTGGGTCGGCAAGGCTGGGGGAGGATGATGATGGTTCAACAGCCAGGGCGGGATGTTGAGAGGGAGAAATCAAAGCCCTCCTTGGCTACGGGCACAGCCATCATGTCACCTCCCCAGATAACCCTGACGGACACATGGACATGGGAGAAAAGCACAAACACAACTGGGTTGGAAACCACTTTGCAGCTGCTGGCTTCACCAAAGGAGCTCCACCGTGGCGGCAGCTCTCCCCGGGAGCGGCGATGCCCCATCCCGGGGATGGAGCCGGCTCTGCCAGTGGTGATTCATGTGCTTCCTCCATTCCCTGGTGAGCGAAGGTTTCTTGGGAAGCGGTTGCAAAATTCCACCAGCATGGTGATGTGCCAGGTGGGGCTTGTCCCCCTGCTTTCTGCCCATCCCCGCTGGCTTTGAGGGGAGAATGTGTTTAAAACAGGAAGAAAAGGGATTAAGCCCTGGACACAACATGGCAAGAAGGGCTGAGGGGAGGCTGCTGCAGGGTTTTGCACTGTTGTCTTTGGGGGCAGCTTCTTCCCACTCTCTGGGGATTCTCTGTTGTCTAATATAGGGTTGACCTCACCCCGCAGCCCGTCCCCGGAGGGCTCGGTGTGGGTTTCCTCCTCCCCATCCCTTCTCAATGCTCCGTTTGCAGCATCCATCCATGCAGAGGTCCATCCACACGGGTCAGTCCTGCACCCAGCACCTTCCTCAGGCGTGCAACAACCATCTCAGGGGCAACAAGAGATGCACAGCCCGCAGTTAGGAGATGGCAATTAGTGTAGGAGGAAAGGTGAGCTGGGAAGCCTCCCTCTCCCTGGCATTTTGCTCCTGGGAAGGAGAGAATAAATGATCCATAAAGTTTCCATCAGCGACGCAAGGGAGAGCAGCTCCGATGGCCACGGTGTGCAGGAGGCATCTGCCTCCGGAGCACGCGAGGCCGGTGGAAATATTTAATTGTGCCGTAAACTTTATTTTGATGGTTTCGGTGATTATGAGCGGAAGGAATTCAGTTTTCCACTAAGCTCTTGCGTTTATTGCGGCAGAAAAAAAATCCACCAGCCTTTGCACAGGAGGGAGTTTATTAAATAAATGTTGACCCAAAATGGGGCATTTGCACTTGCTCCTGTCCCAGAGCTGTTGGGACTGGGGGTGGTGGGAGGAAAGAGCTGGTTGGACTTCTTTTCCCCCAAAATTTAGAGGTTTAGAAACATCCAGGATGCTGCATTGCATCAGGGACAGGTTGCAAGGTGCTGGAAGCAATGCTGGGCTGAACCAGCTGCTGCACCAGGGCCTTCAAGCTGTAAAATTGGAAAAAAATAAGAAATAGAAGTGTCAGGAGCATTGGGGAGGGGATAATAAAGGAGAAGGAGCAAAGATCAAGCGCCTGGTGCTGCCGTCACAAGGGCAGAGATCCCGCGAAGCTGTTTCAGGGAGGAATTGGGGGGAATTGGACTTTTTCTGTAGTTTTTTCCCTGCGGCGAAGGTGTCCCCAGGGCGCAGAGCCCAGGGTCAGGGTGCTGAGGACCCCCGGGCTGACAGCCCCAGGCAGCGCTGGGGGAAAATGACTTGATGTCCGGTGAAGTAGCAGCAAGGAACAGAGCGTGTCGGGCTCACACGTGCGTGCATGGCCTTGCATGTTTTGCACTAGCATCTGCGGTCTTCCACAGCCTCGTACCGGCATGCACAGCCTCGCATTGCCGTGCCACCTTGCACAAGCACACGTGAGCGTGCACAAGCACACATGGCTTTGCACAAGCACGCACAGCCTTGCACAAGCATGCACAGCCTTGCGTGGCACTGCAGAAACGTGCACAAGCGCCTACAGCCTTCCATGGCCTCACACAAGCATACACAAACGTGCATGGTGCTGCCCAGCCTCACTTAAGCACACATGGCCTTGCACGAGCTTGCACAAGCACACACAGCCTTGCAAAAGCACACACGACCCTGCACGAGCATATGCAATGTGCACGGCCTGACACAAGCACACGCAGCCTTGCATGAGCACACACAAACACACACAGTGTTGCATGGCCTCACGTGGGCATGCACGGCTTTGCATGAGCTTGCACCACCACGCACAAGTACACACGACCTTGCAGGAGCATGCGTGGCCTCGCATGAGCGTGTCCTTGCGTGAGCTTGCACGAGAATGCTCAAGCACGCATGAGCGCACGTGGCCTTGCACAAACACACACAGCCTTGCACAAGCTTGCACAGGCACACACAAGCCCTCACACAGGTATGGGAAAGCTCCATACTGGGAGGGGTGCCATCATACTGGTGTGGAGGGGGCCCATACTGGAATGGGTGCCCTCATACTGGTGTGGAAGGGTTCGCACTGGCTCAGGAGCCCTCACACTGGTGGGCACTGGTCCATACTGGGACGGGGGCCCTCACACTGGTGTGGGAAATCTCCATCCTACCTCCGCCAACCCCCTCAGCGGTTCCTCGCCCCCCTCCCTCTCCGCGCATGCGTGCTGCGTCCCGGCGTCCAGCCCCGCGTGTGCCCATGCGCAAATCGGGGGCGTGGCGCGCCATGCAGTGCGCATGCGCTATAGAACACGCCCCACCCACCCTTTACCCAGCCCCTCCCTGTCCGCAGGGACCCCCCTCCGCGCGGCTCTGGCGCATGCGCAGTGCTGGACACGCCCCTCGGTCTCGCCAAAAGGGTGGAGCCGCGGGCACCACCCAGTCGCTGTCCGGTGCATGCGCACTGCCGGAAAGCCACGCCCGGGCAGGGCTTTTCGTCACAGCCAGGCGGTGCCTCCGAAGCCCCGCCCATTTCCCTCGTGGGCGGGGCGGCCCCGCAGTGACGAAACGCCCACGCCCGGGCGTGGACAGGGCGGGGGCGTCAGCGAGGGGGCGGGCTCTGTGGAAACCCGCCCTCTCCAGCCCCTCCCTGGGCGCTGTGCGCCTGCGCCGGCGCTGGAGGCGGGGGGGTGGGTGGGGCGATGGCTTGCTCCGCCCCCCGCCGCCTCGCGGCGTTGTCATAGAGACGGCGGCTGCGCGGGAGGAGGTGAGGCTGCGGCGGCGGGTCTGAGGGGCTGTGCTAGGCCGGGGGGGGGAAGGAGGATGCGGGTTGTGAGGGGGGGTTTGGGGTCCCA